CCAGCAGAGTCAAGGGAGTAATTATAGGGAGTTCAGACAGATTGGTCTGATTGTGAACACCTTGACATTTTCAACTGCCATACTGCAGTTTACTCTTTTTACAATATCTCTTGCCTTGCCGCCCCCAACTAGGGGCATAGAGCAGGCTCAAGTCGCAACTGCGAAATATTTTTATATCCAAATTTCTTTTTTTCTGACATGTGAAGATTTGCTTATACTCAATAACTGCAGCTGCTAACTGAAAAGCTAAATAAATAGCCCATTACTCTTGCCTTTTCCAATCCCAGGTGGTAGCTTTCTAAACAACTGCTTGCTGCATTCAAAGTTTAGTCTTCATTATGATTTATATTGTGAAAGTATACTACTTTGATACTGAAATATATGTATACCAGATGCAAAAGTCTAATAGCTATAATGTTTTTAAAAAGAATCAAGCTAGTTTGATATACAGTAGACTTTCATAACCTTGGCGTTTTGTACAAGTATTGGTATCTTCTCATATTTACCCTTATTTTCTTAAGCTGAAGAGACAATAAGATGATAACTAATATTTTTCAAGAAAATCATGTAAAACAGCTTCTCCACGCCACAGCATATTATGCAGAAAATTGGGCTAAAATTTGTGTCATCCACAATCTTCATTCCCAAGTCTTACATCAACAGCACAAATTAGGAAAAATTGATGTGGAAAGTCCATTGCCTAGATACATTCAGTGAACTATATTTAACTGATTTTTGTTAAGATTTACATAAAATTATTATGTAGCTTTTGATTAACAAAAGATATTTATTAAAAATTTTGTATGTATTTTAATGTTACTTTAGAGTCATAGCAATTTTATATTAGTGTGTAGTAATATGGAATAATTGTGAATAGATTTGGATTATTCTGTGTTTATTTCCTAGATTAGCTTTGGGAAGTCCTGGGGGGGGGAGGGGGGAAAAGGGTAGGTTTGTATTATGGATTTATATGTATGATTTTTTTTTTTTAAGGAGGTGTCCGGTGATACCCCAACTGCACAGGACGGGATGGTTGAGAGTGGAAGGGAAGTAGGAAAGAGGGAGGAAGGAGGAGTGGTGGTAGAATGAGAGGAGGAAGGAGTGGTAAGTGGAAGAGGGTGGTGCGGGAGGGGTACACCGGACACGTCTGTGAATGGTTTGTTAAGCTTTATTCTTTTTGGTTGATATTGTGATAAAAGATTTATGTTTATGTTTTTTCAAATGAAAAATAATAAAAAAATTAAATACAAAAAAAAAAAAGATTTACATAAAATGTTTTATTTTACAGTATGCAATGGATTTTTTTTTAATTATTGCAGAGAAAACTATATTACTGGAATTACAGATAAAGAAGAAGAAAGAATTAAGGAAAGTGCTGCCTATATTGCCAGAAGGAATCTTTTTGCTACTGGGGAAGAGGTTACTGCAACCAAAAAGAAAATTTCCTCTTCTGTAGAAGAAGAAAAACATGAGAAAAAATCAAGAAAAGTAGCAATACGGGAGACAGCTGAGAAATTGGCTTTAAAAAAAACGGTATTAAATTACTCATTCATTAATGTGATAATGAAGTGAGGCTTTGTTGTTGTTTATTGTTGTTAAAAAATATCAAAATACAGGACGTGGTTACCAAGGTAAGCCATTATTAGTTATTGTACATCTCTTTGATTAAAAGTGGAGAAAAATTAAACATTATTTCTGAACCATTATAACTGAAAACATTTAAGCAGAGTTCAGTATCTAAATATGAAACGTAGGATATATTTTTCAGGTACTGCTTCTGTTTCTCTACAGATAAAAATGATAGAATTATACATCTATAAGGGCTGGGCAGAGTACGGATCCTATCTGTTCTCTCCGAGGAAAAACTCCAGCATCTTTCTTGGCACCTGTTGAAGGGCAAGAATGTAGAAGGATCAGTTTCCCATCCCCAGTACTCTCTTTGTTTAAATAAAAGGAATTCCCTCCTGTTGAAGCCAATAAATAAATCAATGCCAGCTCCAGAACTGCTGTAGACTGTTTTTTGGCTTGGAGTGTGAGTGAGCATACCAAAAGGATTTTGCAACCAGCAGATCTATTCTCCTAACTGGCTCGTGCTGTGACCAATTTCTGACCCTTCTATATTTCACTTCATGTAAGGGATCCTGGAGGCTAATGTTGGGAGAAACACATACTAATATTTCCATAATTTCACATGAGAATAGTCATATTTCTCTTTTACTTGGCGTCATTGCTTCCTTTAAGTCTTTAAACATATGCAAAAATGCAAAAGCAGTAATAAGATTTCTGCTCTGAGAAAAGAAAGGAAAATTTTGGCCTCTAACTTCAACCGCATGTTTCCCATGCTGTCCTCACCTCTTTCTTAAGCCAACTTCAAAAATACCCGTTCCAAATGCAGAGAGTTGGCAGTGGTGTGTTCAGTCCAGATCATGGGCAATACAAGACCTGAATGGTCATTTCTTTGCTTCTTTCCCTTCCAACCCATGCAGAGAAGGCACCTCATTGGCTGATTTAGTGCCACTTCTTCTTTTCAGAGATTTTTCCCTTTTTACTAGCTGCTATTCCATGTGCCATTTCTTATCTTTCCCAGTTGTTTGTGTACATGGATGCCTTCTCACATTATGTCCTTTTACCCCAATCCAGACTTTTTCTTTTTCCCCCCCTTATGGTACTGTCCTAATTTTGTCACCACAAGATGAATGCAGCAGGAAACAGGTTTCTTTTTCATTTCTACATCTTCCTGCAGATGCATGGAAGCTTTTTTTAATAAGGAAGAGTTGATAGCTTAGCTTCAAAAAGCAAAGCAGCAACTACAGAAGCAGCTTTAATATTCTTTGAAAAATGAGGAAGGGAAGCTTTGCAGTACAGTACTGAAAGCAGGACCTGGGAAAGCAAAGGGAGCATGCTTTGCCTAGACTGGGTAGAAAGGAAAGGGTGCCCACTGGAAAATGGATCATGAGCTTCCAGAGGTAAGAATGGTTCATGGTAAATTGTAAACATTGCATTTTAAAGATTATTTTTTTTTTTAAAAAAAAGGGGAGATACCAATCAGGAGAGAACATAGCAACCCAATAGTGGCACAGTGTAATGATTAGCTGCTGGAGGGCAGGGAGCTTGCCAGGCAGCACAGCCATTGGCAGACAAGGCTGCATCTAGATTAGAACAAAATGCTGAAGACCATCAACTCTGAAGGTCCTAAAGCAACATCAACATCAACATCAAAGACTTAAAGGCTGCCCGTGGCCTTCCGGGTGCGCTTCAAGGTGTTAGCAACAACTTTTAAAGCGCTCCATGGCAATGGACCTAGGTATTTGCAAGACCGCCTCCTACCAAATATCTCCCTTCAACCAGTCCGCTCCCACAGAGAGGGCCTCCTTAGGGTACCGTCGGCCAGCCAATGCCGGCTGGTGACCCCCAGGGGGAGAGTCTTCTCTGTGGCAGCTCCTGCCCTCTGGAATGACCTGCCCCCCGACCTACGTACAGTTGCGGACCTGCGCCTCTTCCGCCGAGCCCTGAAAACTCATCTTTTCCATGCGGCCGGCCTGGCGTAGTTTTGATTGGGTTTTGTTAGGGGTTTTATATTTTAGAGCAGGCTTTTATGTAATATTTACTGTGATTTTTATTATTGCCTGTTCACCGCCCTGAGTCCCGTAAGGGAGATAGGGCGGTATATAAATTTAAATAATAATAATAATAATAATAATAATAATAATTATTATTATTATTATTATTATTATTATTATTATTATTATTATTATTATTATTATTATTATTATTATTATTATTATTATTATTATTATTATTATTATTTGAATAATTTGAATTTAACTGGAACACTGGCATGGGAAACATTTGCAATTTCCTGAGACTGGGAGTGGGATGGGGAAGTGGGAGGAAGAGGAGTAGGAGGATATAATCTGTTTCTGCACTGAGGAAGTGATGG